CACAATATTAGTTGCAGTTATATATTAATTGCTATTACTAAATATCATTAAAAAAATTACCAGCTTTGTGAAAACAAGTTAGTCAAATAGTTCACTGGTGCTCCTACTATTACATCTGAGCGAGAAAGCACCACTTGCACTCACACATATAAAGAAACTCTATTGACCATATTCAAAATCTTGGAAAGCGCCTTCAACTAGATGAAAAAAGTTATAAAAGGGCCAAATGCAATTTGGTAGGATGAGTTGTTGTTGACATTTGTTGAGTTGAGAAGTTCGGTTACTTGAGTGGAAGCAAAATATATAATGGATATCATACAAGGTATTTATATATATATATATTTCAAAGTAACTAGCAGCCCATTCGTCGAAATAAAAAAGGTATAAAGTATAAAAACTTTTATTTATACGTTTCGACACAAGATGCGTGTCATCATTCAGCAACTACAACAATTTGAAAATTTTATTAACTAATGTAAAGAACAAATTAGATTAATTATAGCATAGAGAAACATTATACACACCACAGGAAAAAACACTCAACAAAAATTTATTTTAAAAAATTAAACTTAATAACATATTATAGAAAAACATTTTTTTAGAAAAAATTATGAATAACTAAAAGATTTGAAAACTAATTTGACTAAAAGTTATGAAATGCATATTGTGAAGCGAGAAACACGCCCATACCGAGCATCCAGACTCGACTGAATTATTTCAATAGAAGTATTAATAGGAATGGGAGGGGACGCATCAAGGACAGATTCTCGAGACACGAAAACGCCTCGAACACAGTGCTTTAACTGGAATTGATCAAAAGGAACAGCAAACCATGTTAAAGTTAGAGAAAGAAAAAACAATATTGTAAAAAATAATATGAAGAGATAAGCAAATTAATTTTTTGTTTTTTTAAAAAAATCAATAACAATCTGGTAACTATCATGTAAAAGGTGGGATGAATTGCGTTTATTAACACAAGAGGAGGAATTTAAAGAAATAAAAAAGGATTCAGCAAATTTTCTAAGGTCACTATTTTTTTCGATATAAAGGATAACCGGATGTGAAGTGTTAAAAGTGTGATTGAGATTGAGCATATGATCTGAAAACATCGTTTTGAATTGGTTTGGATTTTTGTTGAGTGTTTTTTCCTGTGGTGTGTATAATGTTTCTCTATGCTAGAATTAATCTAATTTGTTCTTTACATTAGTTAATAAAATTTTCAAATTGTTGTAGTTGCTGAATGATGACACGCATCTTGTGTCGAAACGTATAAATAAAAGTTTTTATAGTTTATACCTTTTTTATTTCGACGAATGGGCTGCTAGTTACTTTGAAATATGTTTCAACGTCGAAAAAACTATCAAGATATATATATATATATATATATATATATATATATATATATATATATATTGAATAGATTTCAATTTATTATATCGGCTATTACCGGGCCCGCCTGTAGTGTGCAAATTCAATTACAGATACAAAGGAATAAAAAAAAATGGCAAATGCTATTCAAAGATTTAGAAGCGTGGGTGAAATCCCGCGCAATGAAATACTAATAGTTTTTACAGATTTGGATAAAAAATCAAATTGGGAGAAGAGAATTGTGTAAGTAATTTATTTAAATCCACTTTTTTATTCTTTAGGACATGTGCGTAATTAAAAAAATATTATATTTATAGTTTGGATGATGCATCCAAGAGACCGACCCGAATAGGAGAGGTCTTTTGGACCAAATCTTTTCTACAGCATGCAGTTGGGCTGTGTGCCGTGTCCGCCACAGATTATGGTATATATTTCTTCTATATTATAGCATATACATACTTATACATACATATATACATACATACATACATATATATATATATATACTAGATGACCCGACAGACGTTGTTCTGTACTAATGTCTACAATTTTTTAATATAATATACTAATATTTACCGTTTACCTAAAAATAATAATTATTGTTTTTTAAATTACTCTTTACGCCAAAATGCATATATATTTATAATATGAGCGCCGTTAAATGTAGTACTGCTTTAAATAAAATAATGAGTCTGAATTTCCACACTATATCGGAAATTGAAGTCTTTTAAACAGAATAACATAACCATAACCATAACATAACACTGATACTTCATGTTGGATTAAATTAATTTAATTTTTTATTATTTAAGATATCTAAAACTGTATCTCAAACTTCTTCTAATCGATATCGTGAGGGCCGAATTGTATGCATTCATCTCTACTGAATTTTAAAAATATTGTGGAAAGATAAGTATAAGATGCAAAGAAATTATATATTGAAAAAAAAACTATATTGAAAATTTAATATCCGAATCTTGTGTTGGCGCCCCCTTAGACGTGCGCTCGTATTTTTCGCAGGAATCGCATTAATAGTAGGACCGGCCCTGATTAATACTTAATTTCATATTTTAAGTGAATTAATTTGTCATATTTGTTCATATGTGTATAATTTCATACATTTCCTGTATTATATATTATTTTAATTTCTGGCACAACTCAGCTGCTTTTCAGCAATAATAATGTAGACATTTCATTTTTGTTATTCATAATCATACATTTATTATACATATTATAATATTGTCTAGGTTCATAAGTAAATTGAAATTTTTGGCAGATGATAGTTTTCAATGCAAACAATGACATGTCGTTTTTTGCAATTATTTTCATATATTTCTACAATATTGCACATACATCCCAGTACTATATAACCACATACATTCTAGAAATTTTTTTTAACAAACTTCAGAAAGATTTATCAAAATCCGAATAATTGTTTAGAAGGTGTATACAGTGAGTGTTTGTAATTTAATGTGAACTTTATATAATAGCAATAAAGCTCAAATTGATTTTACGTTTAAGTTCGAAAACTTTTGTATGAGAAAAAGAAAAAAGCTGTTTTTAGGGTTTTCTCGGCAATTATTCAAGTTTTTCTCGCCGTAAGAACCACCCTTGGACTTCAACGAACATTTTAAAAAAAGAATTGGCCAAATTGGTCCAAGTGTTGTTGAGTTATGCGCTTACCAACACATTTTGCGATCCATTTTTATATATAAGATATATATATATATATATATATATATATATATATATATATAAAGCGAGAGGTTTTTCTTCAGATGGTGAAATAATATAATAAAATTGTTTCTTGGGCATCCATCCAGTAATTAAAAAACAGTTTTAATGAAAAATGTTTTTATTTATAGAGAACATACGTTTCGGGTCTTGATTTGACCCATCTTCAGTGCATACAAATAAACTTTGAAAAACAACACAAAAACACAAAATTGCACGAAAAAATAAATAAAAGTGAAATAAAAAATTGATGAAACATCGAGTGTGGCGATATCAAGCAGGCTGGTTTTGATTTGGAAAAAACAATCGGACATGTCATGTATATTTTTGATATCGAAATATTTTTATAGTTAATAAATTTATATTTTTTTATTATGTTGGGAGTTTCTAATTAAATATATTATCATAATCATTACGACTCCCACATTGGTGACTCACGACGATGGAGATGAAGATAAAGGAGTTTTATTTTTCGAAGATTTGAGAAAAAATGATTTTGACGCAGCACCATAATCACTGGTCTTCAGTGACGACCTATAAGGTATGTCCAGTCCAATCCATCATAGTTAACGCACTTACTATCTGGATCAGACTTCCGAGGTTACTCATTTGGTATACCCAGACCTCAGTGTTTATTGCTGACAGAAAAAATAATTTGGAGCCTGAACTTTTCATTGGAATGCAATTCAACCTCTCTTTCTCTGTTAACTCAACAAATCGTCTTATAATGCTACCTCCCATTATCGGTGACAACGACGAATCAAAACAAAATTTGACATAATTTATTGGATTCCACAATTCTGGACTCTTATGTCAAAGAAACCAATGATCCTGATTTAGATAAAGAGCCAACTTCTTTCTCTGATCGGAACTCATTAGATACGAATGCAACGCTTGCAGAAATGGAAACTGTACCCATAAATTATGCATTCTAAACATTAAGTAATTCTGATATAACTAATACCAATTAGATGGAGGCTGAATCTTAGAAGTTCACCGACATCGAGGTACAGGAAATTTTCCACATGTTTTTCATTAATCAGAACCTTATGCAGAATATGGAGTTGATGGCAGGTCGAATCACCACATACGGTGGATCTGCTGACGAAACATGGAAATTTGTAATTAACCAGTATTACAACACTGGTCTGCTTAATCTGCTTTCCCACCACATTTTTATAACGTGTTTCCCTGTATTTTTTTTTTTTTAACTGTGAGATCAACACTGGGCAGGGAGTGTGTGGCGATATCAAGCAGGCTGGTTTTGATTTGGAAAAAACAATCGGACATGTCATGTATATTTTTGATATCGAAATATTTTTATAGTTAATAAATTTATATTTTTTTATTATGTTGGGAGTTTCTAATTAAATATATTATCATAATCATTACGACTCCCACACGAGTTATGAAAAATTTTTAAAAAAATATTGCAAAATTAAAATGAATGATATATTTTATTATAAAAAAGCTTTTTCCAAACGAACATGTTGTTAGTTTGGAAGTTGTATTAACGAGTCAATACTTCTTTCGTCAATATTTATTTTTTCGTGCAATTTTGTGTTTTTGTGTTGTTTTTCAAAGTTTATTTGTATGCACTGAAGATGGGTCAAATCAAGACCCGAAACGTATGTTCTCTATAAATAAAAACATTTTTCATTAAAACTGTTTTTTAATTACTGGATGGATGCCCAAGAAACAATTTTATTATATATATATATATATATATATATATATATATATATATATATATATATATAAAGGTGATATATTATTTCAAAATCGCGTAAAAACTTTACACTTTTAATTTGAAATTTTTTATAGAAGCGTAATTTGTTATCTTATTTACAATTCTACACAAAATCCATTATTACCATACTTTTATAACAGAGTTTGACATGACTGCAGTCGGAATAATCTTCCAGAAAATTAAATCAAATTCGCTCCCGGACAACAAAACTATATCTCTTATGCCGGTAGAGTATGAGAATAGTGACGATGTGGGGCTATACTTCCATGAAATGTTTAAGGAGAAGGATATCCGAATATACTATCATGATAAGGTAATATTACATTTATATAATAATATATAAATCCATTGATTGATATATTGAACAAATATTAATAATTATTATTTTAGTCCGATGAAGCAAGTTGGGGCCCCACCGGTCCATCTTCGACGTATAGCGAAAGCGGCGAAGACGTAGCTTCAAAAGTTGGCACGGGCGGGGGTTACCGTGGCCGCGGTTACTATCGCGGCGGTGGACGTGGCGGCGGTAATTATCGCGGCGGTCGACAAGACGGCTGTCGACGTGGCGGCGGTAATCATCGCGGCGGTCGTCGTGGCGGCTATAAACATCGCGGCGGTCGTCGTGGCGGCGGCGGCGCTCGATATCGCGGCGGTGGCTACTATCGCGGCGGCAGAAATTATGATCGCGCCATCTTCATTTATTGAATTTTTTATAATTAATAAATAATAAATTAAACAAGTTATTATTTTTATTTGTTTTATCCTTCTATACATGTTCTATATTATGATTCATGTTGTAAATTATATATATATATATATATATATATATATATATATATATATATATATATATATTCAGACATTTCAGCAAGAAAACTTGTACAAATTTCTATGCTCCTTTGCAATTATTAAGTTTACGGTCTAGTTTTAATTCAGTGGAAGCTAACTACATTCAAATAAAACCCACAACTGTCTACAACAAAATTAAAACTCAGCAAACAACAAATAGCAGATTCAGTCGATGAAATAACAAAATTAAAATACCTTTTATGTTATAATACTAAATCAAAATACTTCATACCGTCTTTGAACAGATATGTTTAGTTTTTTCTGCAATATTTGCTATTAGGGAACCAGATATATTGTATTTTAAATTATTATATTGCTTAAATGCACTCAGTTCTTCGGATTTACACTTTATGAAATATTTTGTGACGTTTATTGCTGATGCATCGCGTTGGTGTGAAGTATATTTCATAAAGTGTAAATCCGAAGTACTGAGTGCATTTAAGCAATATAAAATGTATGTAGAAAACAAAACTGGACACAAGATTAAAGCTTTGCAGACAGATAATGGCAGAGAATATTGTAATAATGAATTCAATAATTTTTTAAATAATAATGGTATCAAAAGACGGCTTACTTCACCGTATACGCCTCAACAAAATGGTGTAGCCGAAAGGAAGAACCGGACATTGATAGAAATGGCACGTTGCATGTTAAAGCAAGCGGGGGCACCACAACGGTTTTGGGCTGAGGCTGTTTGCAATGCCAATTACACTAGAAACAGATGTCCAACAAGTGCACTAGATGGATGTATACCATATACGGTATGGACTGGAAAAATTCCAAATTTAGGTTATTTACAAATATTTGGATCAAAAGCATATGTTTTGATTAAAAATGGAAATATCAAAGGAAAATTTGATTCGAGATCTAAACCTGGAATCTTTGTTGGTTATTCGAATAATGCTAAGGCTTATCGAATATATATACCGGGAAGCAATAAGATAATTGAGAGCAGAGACGTTAGATTATTGAACTATTCTGGATTTAATAATGAATATAGTGAGATATATAGTGAAAATGGTTATGATGTATATTTAAAATTGGGAAATGTCGAGCAAAATACAAACCATGAAAGACCAGCACAGCAGCAATCAAAACGTGGAAAAGGGCGTCCTAGGATTATTCGGACAGGTCATGCGGGAAGGCCGCGAAAAGAATATCAAATAAATAAAGAGATGATCGAAGATACATTAGGAGAATCCTCTGGAGAAGGGGAGGTTGATGAAGGGATTTCAAACGAAAACAATGTGATTAGTGAAAAATGTGAAATATTTGAAAATGCTTTTAATATATCCAAAATTAATATTACGACTTCGGAACAAGCTAGTCAGCTACGTGATGCTGACGAATGGAGGAAAGCGTTAGAAGACGAGTACCTTGCGCAAATCAAAAATATGTCATGGGATATAGTTGAGCGACCCACACAAAAGAAAGTTATTGGAAACAGATTTGTTTTTACAACAAAATTAGATGGAGAACCTAATAGAAAAAAGGTGCGGTTAGTTGCAAAAGGATGTTCACAAAAATATGGTGAAGATTTTTGTGAGACATATTCTCCGGTGGCACGATCAACTTCTATTAGACTATTGGCAGCATTATCTGCGGAAATGGGTTTAGAAATTCATCAAATGGATGTCGTAACTGCATATTTAAATAGAGAACTTGAAGAAAAAGTCTACATGAATCTGCCAGAACAATTACATGAAGTATTATATAAAATTGTGAATAAGAAACCTTTGGGTACTATTCAAAAACCGGCTACTGAGAAAATTAGAGATACAGCGAAGACCTGGCTGAGAAATATTGAGAAAAGCCTAGATCCCGTATGTTTATTGAAGAAAGCACTATATGATTACGTCGATCAGGTATTCAATGGCACAAAAAATTTGTAACAAAATTGCAGACAATGGGATTCAAAGCAATGTCGCAAGACCCATGTTTGTTCATGTGCAATAAAACAGGAAAACATACATTGATAGTTATCTATGTTGATGATTTATTAATTGCTTCAAATGATAAAGATTGGTTAAATGAAATTAAACTATCTTTATCTGAATGTTTTGAGATGAGAGATTTAGGCAAAGTAGATAGATGTCTTGGAATTGAATTCAAACAGGAAAATGGATTTGTATATTTAAAACAACGTTCTTATGCAGAAAATATACTAAATCGCTTTAATATGGAAAATTGTAAAATAGTATCAACACCATGCGAGGTTAGACTCCAACTGATTAAACCTAAGGAACCCAATGAATACATCATGCAAAAGTATCCTTATCAATCTTTAATAGGGGCATTAATGTATTTGGCAGTAACTACAAGACCAGATATTGCCTATGCAGTAAATTATTTAAGTCAATTTAATACCAATTATGATACAACACATTGGAACGCAGCAAAGAGAGTATTACGGTACCTGAAAGGTACATTGAATTATGGATTGAAATATAAGAAAACAAATCAAAATTTATTTGGAATTGCAGACGCAGATTGGGGAGGTAACATAGTTGACTATAAATCATATTCGGGATTTTGCTTCATATTTGCAGGTGCGCCTATCAGTTGGGAAGCGCGAAAACAGAAAATAGTAGCTCAATCAACAACGGAAGCTGAATATATAGCTTTGAGTGAGGCAACAAGGGAAGCTATATATTTGAACGAATTATTGAAGACTCTAGATATAGGAAGTGAAACGGTTACAATATATAATGACAGCCAGAGTGCTATAGAACTTGTAAAAAACAATAGGTACAATCCACGAACGAAGCATATCGGATTAAAATATCACAAGGTACGTGATGAATATATTAATAAGAAAATTAATATTCAATTTATATGCAGCAAACAGATGCCAGCAGATATGCTTACTAAAAGTTTGACTAGAAATAAACACGAAGAGTGTCTGAGGAGAATGGATGGACTGCAAATAGTATAATAAATATAATTTTGAGGGGAGGTGTTAGAATACAAAATTATATATATATAGAATGCGGACCTGATGAGGATATCTATCTAGGAGTGAAAGAGGAGGTATCTCCATCATGGTATAAAAGAAAGAAGTTTCAACAAAATCATTCTATTTCGACTGCCTGCCCAAAGGAATAATATACTTTGTATTATTGTATAAATGGAATACTGTTATGTAAATATTATCAAAGTAATAAATTTTATTTTACCATTAACATTATTATATTTTAAATTATTATTATATTATAAGTCTAAGGTAAGCTATCATCTTGGTTCTAAACATTTTAAAAATCATAATAATAATCATGATCTTGACAGGTTTTAGCTGTCAATGTTATGAAGCCAAAACTTTTGAACTTGACAGCTAATTTCTTTCGGCGGCAACTTCATGCTGGCTGAAATGTGATGTGACATGACATGATTGAGTTAGCAAATGACGAGCGAATTGAAGAAGAAAAGCTTTAAGCTATTATTATATTGTGTAGGAGTGAGTCCACGAGTTTCCGTAATATAATTAGAATTTGTGTATAAAAGCCGGAGTTTTTGTAATTAACTATATAATTTAGATATTTGTGACTATTTGTATCAGAATTCTGATAAAGATATCTTTCCACAAAATATTGAATTATCGGAATTTATAAGTTTGTTTGTATTACAAATAAAGTTGTTTTATTATTAAAGTTATTCACTATGTCTGGTAAGTTTGAAAATATCAATAAATGCGTCATTCCCACTGCTAGAACAAGTGAAACGTGGCGTCAAAAGCACTTAAATAATTTAAAAATGGCGAAGATTAACCACTATGTTATTCTCACTGGAGACTCCCTTATTGAAAACTTGGTCAAGCATCCCGTTTGGGCCAAATTTCAACAATTTCATGCCGCCAATTTCGGCATTGTAGGCGATAAAGTGGAAAATGTTCTATATCGGATAAAAAACGGCGAATTTCCGAATAAAAAAACTAAAATAGTGGTTATATTGATTGGAACTAACAATACAGAACATAACAATTTCAAAGATATTTATAAAGGAGTTATTAATTGTGTATTCGTCATTCGAGAATTACTTCCGAATGCCCACATATTTGGTATGAACATGAACTAAATTCAGAATTATCACTTATCAAATGCAAAAATAGTTGTAGGGGAGACCGGGGCAAGATGAAGTTCGGGGCAGTACGGGAAGTAAGCTTGTGTGAGTGAATTGTGTTCTGAGCGGCAACAGCGCCATTTGCACGAACTTCACTCTCCGCCAGTGCGTCCATGCAGAGCGGACAGGTTAGAACTCGTTTTTGCGTTGCAGAGAGAAAAAAGTGATATTGCAAGTTTTTTTACGCAAAATTTGATTCGAAAACTGATGTACAGACATGTACATCAGTACATGTGTTAACGTATTATTTCTATCCCGAGCTTATTTATTATAGGAGTCCAAAACATTAAATTTAAACCAGATTTTTTCGCCGGGCAAGTTTGAGGTTAGAATTGCGTCATCTTTTTTAACTACGTGTGGATCGGTGCAAGATGATCGGGTCATAATGGGATAATCCTGTTTTGCCCCGCCCTTATGATTAAAATAACATTTTTTATGTAGACACCTACTGATGATATTTTTAAATTCTACTTAAATCAGGATCAAAAGTATTTACCTATTTATTTATTTGTCTACAGATAAAATGGTTCGCAACTATAAACGAAAAACAGATCGTGGCAAATGGAACGAAGAAGACATGATAAGAGCAGTAAATGCTGTTCTTACTAATAGAATGGGATTTCTTCAAGCCTCGGCTACTTACGATGTTCCGAAGTCGACTTTAGAACGACGAGTAAGAAAAGCTCGTGAAACTGTTAATACCGACACTGATTCTGATAACGACTGCGGGAAATTTGGAA